ATCATTGGAATAAATATTGGATTAAAGAATACATATATACGATGGATCGAAAACATATGTAATAGAATATAATTTAATTATAATTATAATTATGCTGCAGAAAAAGAAAAGGAAGAGGAAGAGAGAGAGAGAGTGACATGCGAAAGATAACACGCGTGTTTTTTAGCATGGAAAGTGAAAACGCAAACGCGATAACGCAACAGACGGCAGACAAAGTGCGTCGAGACACACAAAGACAAAGTACGGACAGGGATTAAATTAAGAACGCCGTTGGAGAGAGCATATGAAAACGACCTGGAGGGTTGCTTTCTCGCGGAAATGAAAAATGCGAGACGCGACGACATTTAATAAACAGCTGATAGTGGACAGGATAGAAATATATGAGAGAGAGAGAGAGAGAGAGATGGCGCAAATCACGACGATTATTTGGCAAGAAGCTACCTGCGGTGTCGCACTCGCAGGCACTGTAATTACGTGATTTCGACGTACTATGGACGGTTTTCACCCAACTTCCTCGTTTTCACCAGCGCTTGTGCTGGAGCTCGTTCTACTTTCCCTTGAACTCTCGAGGTCTGACCCACGCCTACGTAATTTAAATCGAATATCCCGATCGCTCTGATGCCTGGTTTATGCTCCGGTCTTAGAATTAGTCCTAACTTAATCTTAAGGACTATAGAGGAAAAGGAACTTTCTTGAGACTAAGATTAAGATTACGGTTAAGACTGGGGAAGCATAAATGACCTTATGGCATTCCTTGTTGCTAACTTTTAAGACTAAGATTAAGACCGATACTTGAACCAGGTATGACAAAGAGATATCGATCTAGGGCTTGTTTACACTCTACCCTCTAAATTCAACTCAAATTCCTAAAGCGGTAAGCAAAGCGACAAGAAAAAAAGAATCCTGCCTTTGTCTGCCTTCGATCTTTTGTTAAAGTAATATTGAAAAAAAATAATCTTTTCAGGAAGATAATTTTTCTAATGATAATGCAATATTCAAATACATTTTTGCCTGATATCTCACTTACCACTTCTAATCTACATCTATTATTTAGTTTGGTACCGTGACGTTTATCCAATTTAGAATGACAGTTTTTATTTGCCGTAGTTTACTTTTTTTAAAATTAAAATAATGAATTTATATATTCTGAATGACATATTCTGCGCGTCTAACATTTCCTCTTATTGGCGAAACATCTCGCTGTTCCGCTTATACTTTCTAACAGCAAACCACGAACGCTTTCTCACAAAACGGAGCGACGGAGTTACGATAAAATCGTTTGTCTCTCAAACTCTCTCTCTCTCTCTCTCTTTCCTTCCCCTCCCCCCTCTCCTCTTACTGTCTTTTTGTCCTGAATAACGACTCTCCCCTCGCTCGATCTGACGATGCCTTCGGTAATATCTAGTGCAAAAGCAACGTGGGAGTAACTGCAGCGTTGGAAGTGAAAGTTACGGCGCGCCGAACGCACAAATGACCGAACGGAGAACGCGATTCGCTCGAAAAGTCGAGTCTCGACGCGATTCTCTCCTTCTCTCTTTCTCGCGAAATCGGAGAAATTCGCCGCACGAAAGTACGCCGTGCGAGAGAAAAAACCGGGGAATCCTGACGATATAATAATACGGTAATGCCGGATGCGCCTTCACTCGATTCGTCGTACATTTCCCGAATTTTCAATTGAAACAGGAAGCAGAACTGTTCAGTGTGGGATTCACCGCATTTTCTAGAGTGTAAGACTTTTTATTTCATTGACAGCCACGCCGTTTCACTGCTTACCAAAGTTCTTGTATTTAATCTACAACTGTCGGAGATCAAACTTTAACAACAAACTTCTCAGAAACTAAGGCACTCACTGATCCTAATCCTTTTACACTTTTAGTATTAGAGGTGTGAAATCAAGCATTTGTGAGATCGAATCGAATCGAATTTGAAATTTTTCGAAACGAATGAAATTTTAATTAAATTTTCCCGGATTTATGTAAGCTAATTTAAAAATATTTTCAATAATATTTCAGATTTTTTTACATAAAAACGAAAAATAAATTATTTCCAATTTGCAAGTATTACAAAAAATAAATAATATGATAAAAATAAATAATATGATAAAAATATTTTAAAAAGACATCTCTAAAAAAAAGAAACGTTTTATTTCTGACAATTCTATAACTAACTGCATTCAGAAGTCTAAGCCGTTCAGATAATGCTTCTTTAATATGATTATTTCTTGCTTTTAATTCTCTTCGCTAGATTTAAATATATTAAATAAATCAATTGTAATAAAGAATCACTGAGCGGCTTTGTCTTTTCAACGCAGTCAATAGAGTTCAATGATACCAAACGCGATGGTACATGAATAAGTGCACGCGCATGCACGAGAATTGGTGCATGATTGGTGACACAGGAAATACAGAGGAGAATCGTGCATAAATTAAGCAAATAAAATAAGCGATCGATTCGAAATTTTGAACTTTTCGATCTTTCAGATTCGACAATGAAACGAATTCGAACTATTCGCACACCTGTATTTAGTAGATCAATCTTTTCTTTCGAATAAGCTCATTTTATTTGGCATTTCACAGTTTTTGTCATCTCCTTATCATAATTATGATCAATACTTTTGTATGATAGACTCTTCTATTTTAAGGGTCAGTGTTTCATTATCTGATTAACTTGGTGATCAGGTTTAATCTGATGTTTTATCACGGACGAAGTCCTTTAAGCTTAATCATAAGTTAACCAGATAATGAAAATCCGGGATAAATCCTTAATTGAGGAAATATCGATTCTAAGCTGCTTTTATCATTTACTTTAGATTGCACAAATGCTGAGACATTCTCTTTATCTGGCGACAATAAACAATAAGAATTTTATCACACACTGAGAATAGAGAAACCCATTTAGTTGAATCAATTAATTAATTTCTTGTTTGGATATGAGCAAATAAATCCTTGGTTGATGCAATAAAATAATTTAGTTGAAGCAAAGCGTTTGGTTATTGTAACATTTTACTTGTTTTAAACATTGACATCTGATAAAGTTTTTTTTTATCAAAAATAAATCACAATGACCAAATGCTTCGTCTCAACTAAATTATTCTATTGCAACCAAGGATTTGTTTGCCCATATTCAAACGAGAAATTAATTCATCCAACTAAATGGATTTCTCAACTGTACTTTGGCTGTCATTATTCTTCATTATTATTTTTATTATTTGTCACTCTGGCGAGCTCACCTCGTGAAAAGGTTCGACGCGGCAAGAACGCGAATCTCTTCGCATCGCGAGAGCCAGGTGGACTCGCCAAGAGTTCATTCGATTCAGTTCCCGTTTCCTGGTTGGTCGGGTCGCCTGATAGCGTCCGATGAACCTGCGAGGCTAACGTACTTGGCTCGCCTTCCAAGCGAGTTCCGTACTTGGCACCGCACGTGAGCACTATCGCGTGTCCTACGTACCTTCCTCCTTCATCCTTGCTCTTCCTTCTCGCCCTGCGTTTTCTCTTTCCGTCCTTCTCTCGTCTTCCTCTAGCTCTCACGATGACTTTTTCTCCAGAGAACTCGATTTTAACAGATTCGTAATTCAATGAACAACAGTCGAGTCATCGTGAGACAAAGTAATGCCTTTGTTACGTATATATAACAAATATAGCAAACAGAATGATATTAAAAAAAGAACATGTAACGCACACAGAGAGAAAAAATTGTTATGAACGCTAATCCTATGTTACAACAAATTCTGTTTGTAAATATAGGGATCGTAAAATTATTTGCAGATATAACAATATACACTTTATTCTTTTTTTGTACTTGCTACAAAAATTATGTGCAATAAATGCCAAATATTTGTCGAATGTGTTTGCTATAAAACAGCAAATGAATTTGATAAATTTTGCAAGCTTTCTGCGTTTGTAGCAGAATTATTTTTCTTCGTGCAGACAGATCATTGTGATATCAAAATAACTGCGAAATGATCATTTTTTAATCATTATAGATTCATTTTAGATGTACGATCTGTTTTTATATTCATTTGAGTTATAATGACTTCCGCTGCCATAACATTTTCTTGCTTCCAACTTTAGCCTCTCTTATTTCTAATTTCGCAAATCTAATATAAAAATTGTACATTTCTTGCAAATTTTTCTACCGAAATATTACAAAATAATGTACTGTATTCTAATCAATTATAATTGAATTACACTACATGTTTCGGTCTTTAAATTAGACTCTCTTCAGACCATAATCTAACAGTGTCGATAGAAAAGAAATACATCATAAACAATGTTCTCACAACATGCATTTATAATATATTTCTTTTCTCTATTCTCAACACTGTTAGATTATGGTAACATCTTTGTATTTAGTAAACATCTTAAGAGAATCTAATTTAAATACCGAAACATGTTACAGCGTAATTCAATTATAATTGATTAGACTGTAATACACTTACTTTGTAATATATTTCGGTTTTTTAATACATAATATAATTTTGTCATTGACTCTTATATATCCTTTCATTGTATTTTTATTTCTTATTAATATCAAGAGTCCTTTTTATTGTTAATTTTTCTACCGAAATGTAACTTCTACCGAACAGTGTCCTCGACAGTGTCTCGGGAATTAATTTTCCATCCGATATCGTTCGGGTCGAATCCGCGGGTTTCGCGGGATTCAATTATAGTCACATTGCAATACCGCTTTGCCGAGTGTCGAACACAGGTTCCCCGTCCCCGTCGCCCGTGCATTACGGGCCGATCCAATAAGCTCCTCTGTCCCGGCGTACGTCCAGAAATATGAAGAGGGGTCGACGACCCCCGTGACGTAACACGAACACGCGCGCACAATTAACGACATTCTGTATGGACGATCTGTACGACGGGCCGCGTGCGTACTTCGGTACTTCAGTACTTACTGCGTACAACGCGGCGGGATGACTCGAAGCTATCGCTCGGTGTCCACCCGAATTAACTCCTACCGGACTGTAATGTCTCTTTTTTTCTTTCCTGTTGCAGACTTGCGGTGAGCGACTGTGCGCCTCAGACGTCGCGGGTCAGCTCGAACCTGCACAGCAGCAGTAGTATGGCGGTGAGCCGCGTTCCGAGCCCACCACCGCCGGAAGTGAACACCCCCGTGGCCGAGAACTGGTGTTACACGCAGGTACGTTTTCGTCGTTGGTGGTTCATTGTCCTCCACTGGCGCTTCGCCGCGGTTTAGCGATCGATTCACCTGCGCCGAAATTCACCCAGTCACCGTGAGCGGCGGAAATTGCTAGAGACGGGACATGGCAGATTACATCATTATATTTACATTATTATTTGTCCTTTATTTTATGTCGGTCGGTCGGCGATTTTATCATTTCAATCTAAATTGAGGGACTGCTTGAAAATATAGCACTTATAATGTGTACATGTAACAACGTTACGGTAATAGGATCAATTTTAAAACATGCTAAAAGAATATTTTTAGAACCGTCTGACGTTCCCCGTGGAAATAATATTAGATATAAATGTCTGAAATTACTGTCCTTCGTAAATTACTGTTGAGCAGTATGAATTCTGAACTGTGTGTTCTTCTGGAAGCTAGCTGTTTCTAAGACCATGTATTCTTAGACAGGATGCAATTTTGCGTCATCCTCTTATACGTGCGTGGTATACATTTACCCCCGATGTCGAATCGAAGAACTTATTTCCGGACCGTCTGTGAATACAATCTCACACAGATAATATCTCAAACACCTAATAATAAATAATTCTAAATTTGCATTTCTAAAAGTCACGTATCAAAAAATATTTATACACTCATAGGTAAGATTTCTGGATTCAGTGCTGTTACTCTTCGATGAAATAGGAAGATCCGTATTTATTGTTGAAAAAGAAATATTTTACTCTTAAATAGAAAATTCTTAAATCCAGAATAAAATCTAATTATTAATTTTTTCGGAAAGATTTAAATTAAGTAATGGAAATTTGTTGCAATCTCACAACATTCTTGATTTAATAAGACTGATCTGAAGGAAATCTGTTTAGTGTTGCACTGAAAAAAATTTTAAAAATTTCTGATTGAAAATGGATGAATCAGAATTTTCTGATTAAATTTATTAGAGTTCTAGTTGAGATAACCGGAATTCTGGTTGATACAATATTTCTGGTAAAATCTACTAGACTTATTATTATTATGCGAATAATTATATCAATCAGAATCTAGTTATCTCAACTAGAATTCTAATAAATTTAACGAGAAAATTCTGATTTGTCCATTTTCCATCAGAAATACTATTTAATCCAACCAAACTATTTTTCTCAATGTACAAAAGAGTTTGTAGAATATGAGGAAACTTGCATTAATCTTGATTCAAAATCTTTTTTGTGGAATGAAATAAAGATTCTTGACGAAAATACAGATACTATTTGTTTAAGATAATACTTAATAACATTGTTTTATTATACTGCACAGAAAAAAATATTTCATTGAATTAATTGGAATTCTGGTGGAAAATGAACGATCTAAAATTCTGATTAAATCTACTAGATTTCTAGTTATAAATCTACCAAAATTCTATTTGAAATACCCAGAATTCTAGTAAATTTAATCAGAAATCTATTAAACTTAACTAGAATTCTGAATCGTTTATTTTCCACCACAATTATTCGATTAATTTTAATTTAATCAAATATTTTTCTCCGTGTGCGTAAGAAGTTGTGATTAAGATTAAGTACAGGAAACAACAACATCTTTTGTCTATCACAAATCCTTTCCGAAAGTACGAAAAACTCAGGGAAGTCTTTCGACTCGCAGAAAGCTTTTTCCTCTACACGCCAACGTTATTCTCCAGAAGAATTTAGAACGGCAAAGAGTCGGAGATAAATTTCTCACTGGTAGATCGTGGGCCATCCGAGTTCAATCGCCGGGCGAATTCAACGCGTATCTCGCGCGAGCCACGGTTGGAACGTAGATGCGGGTAGGGACGAAGAGAGAAGAAAAAAGAAGAGGAAGGCTCTCTCTCTCTCTCTCTCTCGGAGAGAGACGCGGAGAATCCACGCCGGTGGATCGTCGGCGCGTGAGAGCACGCGCTCCTGGCGCTCTCATTCTATTTTTACTCCGCTCGTCCCCCTCGCGCGATGTGAACGACCTGTGCAACTAGATATCTCTCGTCGCTTTCCTCCCGTCCTCCTGCCGGTGTGTAGGTCTCCCTCGCGGCCGACGCGACGTGACGGTCGCGGAAACGTTCCGCGATTCTCGCTGCAAATCTGCGCGGCCACCGTGTCCTCTCCCTCTCGTCTTCCGCTGTTATTTCCGCTTCGCGCGGTCGGCCGCGCCGTGGCGATTCGGGATGGATCGCCGCTTGGAGTTGCGACTCGTGCGATTCGCGTCCCCACGCGTCGACGCCCTGGATACCGTGAATAAATGGATAGAGGTTCATTATCAGCCTGGGCAAGTTTTCCCCTCCCGGCTCGAGGAGATTCGCAACAATGGACAATTGTCCGTTGGGACAGGGACGGTACACTGAGAGGAAAAAAAAATAGTCGTGGCAATTACGAAGTGTAACTCTAAAATTTAAATACCTGCAACTAGTTTTAAATAGTAATAAGAACTAAAGTGGTACTGAATATTAGAAAAATATTGGTATTCAGTACTACTTTAGTTCTTGTTACTTTGTAAAACTGGTTGCAAGTACTTTTTGTCAAAGTTAATTTCATAGTTAATTTAATAGTTGTCAAAACTATATTTTTCTTCGTATATGTGTGTATAGATAGCGACGATAAGTACGATAAATACAAAAATGAGAAAAATGTAGCGACTCATTACCGATATTGATAAAAAGTTCACGCGTTATCTTCGCGTCGTCTTCGCGGAGAGAGCGAGATCTCGCCGACCGTTGGAGGTGCTCGTAAATAAAAAAGCGAAGGCTGAGAGAGAACCTCTCGGGATGGTTTCACCCGCCGCGTATATATTTAACTCCACCGTTCTAATTTCGACAGCGTGGCTGAAATGCGAACGTTATTACGCTTACTCGCTTACTCGCTTTCTCGCGGGAGTTGCGCAAGACGGCGGTCACCGCGAAATTTTACGATACACCGTCCACGCGCGAATCGATGGAGCACTCACGTTTGCCTTCGCCGTTCAGCGGCGCGTTCGCCTATAAATCGAAAGTCAATTCGTGCTCCAGTTAACTTTCGTAATGCGCGACACCGATTTCGCCGCGTCGAGGATTGCGACGCGGAGGGGACAGGCCGCGGATATCGCGTAACGTCATCCGCGCGAGCTACGGCAATGCGATCGGCCATCGCATTCAGAAAGATTTCTGGTTGAAAATGAATGAACGAATCGGAAGATTCTGATCGTATCAACCAGACTTCTGCTTAATTTGACTGTGGTAGATATCAGCAATTGCTCATTAGTATGTGCGAAGCAAAAATGAAAGTTGATAAGAAACGAGCAAAAAAATTACAAGATAATAAGATAATATACAGGGTGTCCCCGAACGTTTCGGCCAGACTTTGAGATTTTATAGAAAATTTAATTCCAGACAAAAGGTTTCTTATAAACGATGGGTCGAAAAATGTTTCCTTAAAATGTTAGCGACCTCTGAAATCGTGATCATTGTTTCATATTTTTACTAATATTAGGAAAAGGATGCGATTAAAAAAAAAGTAATAGAGAATTAAAATGTCTTTCAAATGAGATCAAAATGTATTGTAGTACGTTCCATTTTAAGAGTTAATCAGTTTCAAATGTACAAAGTGTTCTGTGGTGTTTCTGTTTTTGTCGAAAAGTACCTATAATAGATTCTTATAATAGCTAAAAAATTTGTCTATTTTCAACCAGAATTCTATTTGTAACCAGACTCTTTTTCTAGTTGATGGTCTATCGGATTATGTGCCTCGCTCCACATATCAAAAATTTGTGATATCTCGCACCGAGAAGTCTCGCTTGTTCATATCAGTTTAAAGTCTATATGAGACTAGAGATTGAAATTGAGATTTACTGAGAAAAATACATATATGCTCTGATTGTATCAACAAGAAGTACAGCAAAACGAATTCTTATCTCTCTAAATTTCTTGGAGTGAAATCTCAAAAGAGTGAAAATGTTCATGCTCTTGAAGAGTGCAGATTTTCACTCTTTTTTTCTTTGAAACGAGATTCATTCCAAAAAAAAAGAGTGAGATTTCTTTCCGGAGTGAATGATCTTATTCAAGAGTGCAAATATTTTCACTATTTTTCGATAGTGGCAGTATTTTTACTCTTTTGGAGCGAGATTTCACTCCAAAAAATTCAGAAATATACCAATCAGAATTCTAGATATCGTAGAATGTTTGATACATGGAAAGAGCAATTTAAAATATCTACAAATTTAATTAGCTACAGATGTGAAAATAATTTTATTAGCCCATTAAAATATTTGTGTAGAAAACTCAAGTATGAAAGCACACCGCAAAAAAATTGATATTCTTATAATCTCAGCTTGAGTGTTCTACATAATTATTTTGATTGATCTAACAAAATTTATTTCTAAATCTAACTAAATTTTTAGGTACCTATTTCAAGCAAAACCGTGTAGATTCCTTTCCGGGTATTTAAGATTTAAGTACAAGTATCTGATTTTGAAATTTGTCGAAATTCCAATTAATGCAATAATACTTTTTTCCCAATGTTTAATTTAAAAGCAAATTTTACTAAACATGATATTGACTTTTCTTTCTTATGTTTGGTTAACTGTTTTAATAATCTCAATTTAATCTGATATGCGAGCTTCGACGACGATGGAATCTCACACGTCGTTTACAAGCGCTGTCGGAAAGCAATCCGGGTTCAAGGTTGATAAAACAGTTACGAAACGTTACGATTATATCATCATTCGAAATTCCTGGTATTTTTAACTCTGTACCCAAAGAATACAAGTTTTCGGCCTTTTATTCATGCAGAGACATGATGTGGATTTAGTTTTCTCGCTATTGTCCGAGGTCATTGCGGGACTACCTTGTAGCCCAAGGCTCGAAATCCAAGGTTCTACGTAGAATTAATTGAATTTTTTTAGAAAGCTATAATTCACAGCTTTCGTATTTAGAAATTATTGCGATAAACGAATACTTTATTCCACGCTCAGTGTAAGATTATAGACGATAATTCTAGGTTCTTCACGCTTAATTTATCTAC